AGTAACAGGTGCCACGCTAGTAGTAACAGGTGCCACGCTAGTAGTAATAAGAAGCTATTAATTTACTTTAATTTATTTCTATTTCATGGCCAAATCCCTTCAGGACTCCTTCGTCAACGTGAAGGCCCCCAACTGCACCGCACCTCGGAAGGTCCATCTGCACAGCGACTCTGGATCGTCTCAGACCAAGGAACCAGCCGGACGAGGAAGGCTCGCCTAAAACGGAGGTATGCCCGTGAGGAATTGTGGCATCATATGCAACATATTGTTCAAATCATGGTATAATATGATATATGTAATCATATAAATATATCCTTGCGTCGTCTTTGCGTCTTTGATTCTCCTTGCCTTTCAAGACCAAAATAGACCAAGATTGTCAACTTGAGCTGATTATGGCTGGTTGAGCCTTTTTGGTGCCTTGAAAGGTTGGGCCTTCGTTCAAAATGATGCTCGCATTCCAAGACCACAAACATCTGAAACAAGAAGACATGGTGTCAGAATGTGTCAAACCTAGGATGTTCTGCCTTCCGTGCCAAACTACACACGATGGTTTTTGCTTCATCCAAACATGGGAGGACGCCGTGCTTCGTTTTCCTGCTCCAGCGCCTACTATGAGAGCTTTGGTTGGCTGTAGATCGATGAGGCGTCAAAGGATGATGGACCTCAGTGAGCAACCTCGACCTATCGACCTACACAGTTCGATGAAGGTCAGTGCCCTGCAAGCGACTGTTCACTGTTCGCAGCTCTTAAAAAAAGCTCATGTTTAAACGAACGTGAACAGTCACTTACAGTAGACATGCCATGGCTACAACTCGACTTCGTTAAGTAAATTGTCTTCCTCTTACTGCCCTCGTCTACATTGATTGTGCAAAGTGGTTTTCACCATGCCAAGTGCAAGCTTCTCCACATCCCCTGCATCCAGCCAATCCTGTCCGATGCGTTTAATCCTGCCAGAGGTACACCAGCCTGTCCTGGAAAGAGCTTGTACTCCACGCAGTGGCCTACAGTTGGCTCAGCTCGTTGACTGAATTGTGTTTCAGAAGGTGACGAAATCAAAGTATGATCTTTCTAATTGTGAGAAGCTCTTGATGTCCAAAAACCAGCTATCTTGAGCAAGGGTACTGGATGGCTACACCATGCTACCTCCAAAGAGCCACTAGATAACCTCAAACTTGTCCGTCCGCACTCCCAGTAATTGAAGTAGGTCATTAATGCCAAGCAACCTAGGATTCTCATACTCATATGGTTTCCGACTGAACAACATCCCGCACCTGATGACAAGTCGTATGCAGTAGTTTCTCCATCTCCGCTGGCATTTGTACAGCATTTTCAAGCTGAATTCAGTTTTTGAGGGGATCCTGTGGCGCAAGAATGTTGGAGATATCAAGAACCTCCGCAGTTTGTGTGATAGATGTTCCTGTGGAATTAGTAAATAGAAACAATAAGCTACTAGGAACAAGTGCATCGCTACTAGTAACAAGTGCCTTACTAGTAGTGACAAGAAGCTAGTAGAAACAATATAAATTAGAATTCAATTAGCAAAGAAGGCTACTAGGACCTTTTCGCGATTCCGATGTCCTCCCCCGATGTCGTCCCAGGCGCCATGGGCGGCTGCATCCAGGATGGCCGCCTTGGGCACTGCGGCGCCCAAAAGCTCCCGGTGCCGGCCGGGCACCATCCTAAAATCATCCGGGCTGACCCGACATCGAGGCCTACATCGAGGTTATAGCTGATGCAACCAAACAGGAACATGTATTTGGGAGATTCGCAAAAACTGCGCCTGCTTGCCTTCTCAAGAAGTGGTGAATGACCAGAGCGGTCACAAAAAGGACAGCTCTGCGCCAACATCTCCCGGAGGCAAAGGATGCTGATACTCCGTGGGCTGGGCAGCAACATAAATTGAAAGGAACAAGAACACGTCTCACCTCTGTTGCAATGTATAGACGGTCCTTGAGAGCCGACAAACAGGTCACAGCACAAAAGCATCAATCAGACAACACACAGTGAACAGTTTGGATCTTAGAAGTGCAAATGGTCTTCAATGCTTGCAGCACCTTGGACCAACGGCAGCACAAAAAGGATGGAGTGCCAGTGAAAAGACTGGACACAAACCAAAAGGTGCGCACTGCAGGACAAGAAGGCAGGCAGCAGTGCAACTTGCCTCAAACCACCACCCGTTTTTCAAACCTCTCAAAACTCCATGTGTAAGTGTGTCAGTAAGATTCATTTGTGGAGTGCGTTCTGGCGCCGCTGGCCCGCAAAGGCAGTCTCACCCAACCATATATGAGTTGAGATCGTGGAGCTTCCCTCAAAGGCCGCTTAAACGTTGGAAGACTTGGATGGATTAATGTTGATAATGATAACAATGATTGGTGCAGCATTCATTTCAAGAAGAATACAAAAGGTGCCACTTTTCATGTGTCATTCTTCGCATCGCACCTTTAGCATGATGCAATTCCACGATCGAATACACTCTTGCAGCTTGGTGTCTCCATACCGCCAGATTCTGCTGAGGCCAAATCCAGCGCCACCCAACTAGGCCACAGGTGACGCGGGTCGCGAAGCTCAAAGTGAGAGCCAGTTAATTAGCAATGGATCATGTCACTAGTTCATGCACTGGCTTTCCAATAGGTACTCGCAGGGAATTCACGTTTCTACTTCTCCCTGGGCAGTGTCACTGCTATTCATCTGAGGGTTATGAAGTCTAATGAGATCCAAAGAATGAAGGGAGGTAGTAGCTTGTTGGAGACCAGGCATCACCCACCTCATTCAGAACCCGCATGGCCGCATGTCACATTAACATGGACTCATTCAGCCTAGCTTCAGCTGAAGGAGTTTCCTTGGTGCATCCAGCTGGCCCTCCTTCATAGAAGCCACATCAAGTTCATCTCACTCGTCTGAATTAGACCAACTTAAACCGACCAACTTAAACAGGTGAAACTGAACCAGGCTCGAGTGTGTGTGTGTGTGTGTGTCACACTCTGTTCCAAAGAGTTTCTGTTCTGTTCAAAATCGCAGGGGACCAGGCAGGATGCATCGTCGCCTGGTCAACGAAGCTGGCGATGCATCCGAGGATATGGAAATGGGACGCCATTTCTACGTACCTGCAAAAAACTGTCCTTTACGCTGTGACTCCACTTTACCTTTTTTGTTTCCATGGTGGTTCTTCGCATGATATCCCCCAAACAGGTTTCCTTAGCTTTGGTAAAGTGCTAGTGAGTTTGTCAAACAGTTCTGTTCTTCGGACCCTTTCGCCTTACCGTTTTTGCAATAAAGTGCTAATGCAGTAACTAGCTTCCACAGTCACGCAAAACTTTTGTTCAACATTTCAAGTGCGCGGACCCTTTCACCTTGCGGTTCCATCAGCCATTTTCCTGAGGAATTGAGCTAACTGCAAACCCATTTTCAAAGTGTGACCCTGTGTGCTAAGCACCTCCACATTCAATTGTTGGGTCAGTTCACAACCAAAAAACACAAAAGAGCAACGACCCACCAAACAAAAAGGGGAGAGCCTTCCAAACCCACTCATCCTCCAGCTCAGTTCCAGGCGATGACCTCCATCGACCCATCGATCTTCGCCACCCGCTGACCGCCCGTCTGACTCGACTGGACTTCGCCCAGGTACAGCGTGAGTGGGTGCGGCTTGGCCGCCTGGTCCGCGGTCTCGGAGGACCATTGGAAGCCCACGTGAGTGGTGTAGGTGTCCTAGCGACGTGAGGGGTGCCGGGATCGGTGGCACGAGCCGCGTGAGGCGAAGAAAGTTCGGGAACACATTGGACTGTTAGTCTCGGGTTGTGTGTTTTCCAAGGGCTGAGGATAGGGACTGAAAAAATGAGATGGGATCGAATGGGATAGGAAGCCTTGGGTTTTCTGAGGGTCTGAAAGGCCTTGCTCCCCAAGACCTGTCACGGCAATGCTCGGCTCAAGTTCCGCACAGCACAGGTTGGGATTTGTGTGTTCTGCCTCAAGGTATTGATCCCAATTCAATGGACCCTTTTTTATGCGATGCCTGACGCACAACCAGCCCCACACTAACATGGCAAGGTCAAGGCACAAAGGGCTTCGAAATGCTTCGAATATGATTTTATACCTTACTCTGGCAGAGTGGTGGAAATATTGCATACTTCAGAAGCGGGCCCCGCTTTCGACGTCCATCTATGTTCGACCAGGCCGCTGCACATCCCCTGCGATCTTCCTGTTTCCCACCGGGGCACCATTTCTCGTCTATGAAGGTTGAACTGCACTGACCTGTGCTACTCTAGGCGCAAATGGTGCGCCATGACCCTGGCAAAGAGCTCGGATCTGTCTGGCCGCATTGATATAGATTGTGTCTATTATATTACCAGTACCAGTACCAATGGATGATGGTTAGCAAAGGCCAAACCCAAGATATAGAACTGATCATTTCCACCTGGTCTGCGCCCAGCATCATGTCAAACGGTCTTGCGGGCTCATTGGCCCTGAAAGGCCCGGCTCAACGCTCGGCCGATCTCGATCTCGGGGAGTTCCGCAGCGCTCCCGCGACTTAGGTTGCATTTTGTGGTGTGTATAGCAGTAGTGAGCTTGCTTATAGCGTTGAACATGGTGGATTCCAACATCCAAAAAGAATCTTATCTAAATCTGTAGCATCTAAGGACGATCATCTCCGGACAAAGTACCTTCGTGGAAAGCTGAGATTTGGTTCAGCTGTCTCAGTCGCACTATTCCAGCCCATTCTTTGCTCCAAAGAGCGTTGGGTCCATCTTCATTGCCATGGCCTTGGGTGGACACTTTTGCCTTCGCACCAGGTACATGGTGAACCCAAAGAACAAGCCGATGGAAGCCAGCAAGGTCAGCCACAACGGCATGGGTGTCCAAGCAGTGATCCTGATCCAACTGGCACTTCCTGGACCAGTAGATCTTGTTTGCAGCAAATGCACCTCAAAAATCTTTCAGTTTGGACTCTCTGGAACTGACTGCTTAGCACTACTTGGCACTCAAAGTTTGGTGAAACTGCCCCCGAACCCACACGCTATGCAGCCCTCCAGGGAGAAAAAGAAACAAGCTGCTGGCTTGCTGTGCATGGCTCAGCAAACATGTTTGGAGTCAAGAGTCTAAGGCTGCACCTAAGGCCCAATCGATGTCGCCACCATTGATCTTACGCATCACCTTCACTTCGCCCAGATCTGTCGCCTTCACGGCCGCCAGAAATGCTAACTGATAGGAGAGCGCAAAGCAGGCTTTCTCGAAGCTCGATGCAAGCCTTAGATGGGGCTTGATCAGACCAGAACACGCAGCTCAAAGCAGGGAAACAGGACTGTTTCCATTCCCCATCTTTCCGGCACCAACCAACCTGGCTTGCGCAAACAACTTATGAGAGGAAACCCTTTTTCACGGCCACGCGGCTCCTTACCACAAACTTGTGATGCTTCCTCCTCACTGGGCGGGACTCCCTCCATCTTGTCGAACTTGAGATCTTGTCTCACCTCTCAAGAAAATCACTCCCACTCGACGGATATGCGCGCGCGCTCTCTCTCTCTCTCTGTTTCTCTCTGTGGCATTTCCGTCGGCGATATCTGCTGAAAAGCACTACTTGAATATCCTGTCACATACAGTATGACATATAATATATGTCATATATATATGACTATATGTCTTGCCCTGCTTGGATATATAGTTCAGGGGGTGGCTATCTGGTCTGTCATGTATATGAAATGGCCGAAATGGCTTTGTGAAAGGGCCGAACAGCTCAGCTACAACAGCACAACGCCCAGCCAAACCTACCACTCATCAAATTCATGTGTTCTCGTCGTTCTCGTGTTTGCTAATCAAGTCACATAGAAGAAGTTCTCCGTGGCAATCAAAGACCCCCTCAACGGTAGCTCATATTCATAACGCCCTGGAGCCGTTGACTCCTGAAAAAGCAGTCTTTGGATATTGCTCTCCTGAGCGACTGGCTGAAGAGTTGGACACAGGACCCACAGGTGTAGCGGGATGGTGCCCGGTTGCTGAGCGCAACTGAAGATGTTCCACAGACTCTGCAGTTTACCTAGGACCTGCGACCCGCAAAACCATCTCAATGAACACAAACTTTCCATGCAATGCCTAAGAATGTTGAGAGGTTTCTTGACAAAAATAGGAGGCCAAAAAGTCTGAAGCGTTCACCTGGAACAAGTGCTGGGATGATGGCACAACCTGGTCCATGCCAAGTGATCTTCCCCTGGAAACTGGTCACAGTGGTCCGCGACCAGTGGTTGCAGTGTTCTGCGACCAGTGGTTGCATCAAGAACCGTTTGTCAGGTCATGCTTGAAATCCAATGCCTCGGATTTCTCTTTTGCCTCCGCAATTGAACAACACACGTAACACAACTGGCACTCATTAATTTGCATATGATCCTCCCACATGTTGCGATACACTTGCAGCTGACTTCATTCATTGTTGACACACGAGGCACATCGGTCCAAAACCGCCTCCACTTCCCAACCTTTCGCACTGCGTTTCTGAAACCGAGTGGCACATTGCTGGCTGCTGCCAACACCTTCCATTTTGGAACCGTGCCGTTCCCGAGAGTAGCCTTTGGGGTAGCAGGGGTCTTGGTTTCCATCACCTTGCACAGGTCTTGGGCCAGTCAAGCACACACAAACCAGTTGCTGGCCAACCAGGGGCATCGGGTTGTGCAAAAACCGATAAGGGTCAAAATGAAAGGAAGGAGAACAAAACATGATGTCCAAAGGACAACAAATTAACTAAGCTAGACTCAAGCAAAGGGCTCAGATCGATCAGCTTGTCTTGTGCATAGTCTTGTCCAAAGCCCAAATAGCTGTGCGCATAGAGATGGTAGGTCTTCCCCAGCGCTGTGCGAAATTCGAAGGTGTCACTTTCAGCGACTTTGGGCACTTCCTGTGCCTCGATCTGGAAGGACACCTGCGCTTTGAGCACAACCGAGCACCCTGCCAGCTCTGCTTTTCTGCACTTCCGAAAGGACCCAGGAGTGAGTGGCGGGTGTTATGTTTCATGGATTTTAGAATATTTCCCGGGTCATCTGCTGCTGGTTTCAGAGAACCCCCCAACAATCGCCCCAGCAATGTTGGGTTTTGTGAAAGCCCCAAATGTCTTGATCCTGGATCTAGGCTGATCTAGGACACAGGACACTTGTCTGTTTCTTTAAACACGCTGAGAATCGGATTCTGAGGTGGGTGGGTGGCCCAAAGTCAGAACCTGCCAGTCAAAGAGGCGACCATCACCTCCTTCCAACGACAATGAGCGAGTTCCGTGTTGACGTGTTTTTTGCACGTCGCCTGGGTGGATCCACCCCCCATCTCGATGATCCCAAGCGAAGGTGAGCTAGAGGACTCTTCACCAAAGGTGCCGTGCAAATAGTTCGCGGCGATCCAGGCAAGGCCAGCTTCTTCCTTGCCTTGATTGCCCACGTGCATGCATCCATGCATCCGCATAATCATCTACTGAAGGATGATCAAGCGATGCGTTTGATGCAGGGATGATGCAGCTAATCCCCAGCTTTCGCAGCCAAACCTTCTGCATTAAATAGCACAGGTGGTACTTGTCTTCTTCCAGTTTGTTGACCCAAATACACATCCGAAACATACCATATCCGATTATCCCAGTACAATTTGGCATGCAGGAATTACATATGTAGTATATGTATACATATATACATTATACTTTGATTCTCATCCATCGCTGTCTGCCAAGCTTCCCTTGATGATATCCGCCCAGTCCTCGTGGAACCAAAAGCCAGAGCTTAGGAGTGTGGAGCGGACCGTCTCCAGAACAGCCTTGGCCTTTTCGCTGGGGACCGCACGTAGGCCAGCCTTGAATAGGACAGGAGGGCAAAGTGACACTCACCACCTTCACCAAATATCCTCATGTGACCGTAGTGCCGTGGTGCCGGTGTCTACGCCAGCCTGAGGCTCTTACGTTTCCAATGACACCTGCCACCGAGAAAAGAAAAAAGGGTTCCAAATGCAAGCACCAGGAACTGTGGCCTTCAGAAGCACCGGTGTCTCTCTCTGCCGGTGACCCTTGACAAACTGCTTTGCGAAAGCTACCAGCCGATTGATGCTGTCCCTGCAGCCTGGAGTTGGGCGTTTTCTTGGGTTCATTGCTCCAGCGACCCGCTAAGGCTGGAGCAAACATGTATAGCCAGTGACCATATGATGATCTTGAAAATGACCTGGGACCACATAAGGTGACCATATACGGAGTGACCTTATAAGGTCACTATCTTCCTGATGACCTTGAAAACGACCACTCCACAAACTGCCATATTCAGGTTTGGTCGGTACCCTCGCTATAGAATGGGTCCCTGAATGGTGTTTCGATTTAAATCGTCCCCATCCTATAGAGATCCATTCACCGGGGATTCTTCTTGCAGGCTTTGTCACTTGATTTATGTGCCCTGTAGTGAACACCAGGTCTCAGACACGCCTTGAAGGTCATCGCTGCGTGCGAAGTGAGAAAGCCCAGGCTTCACTTTCCAGGTCTGGTTATCCCTGACACTCAAGTCCACGCTGGGCACGGCTTTCCCATGCTGCACATACATGTTGAAGATGTGGATCCGTGTGCCACTGCTGCCAGCGTCAAAGACCAAAGCTTGTTCCAAGGTTGAGGGCTTTCTTAAAGCAGGTTGCGCTAGCACTCGAAGGATGAGGAGACACCAGCAGGTCTTCATCGTCATGGTGCTCTGGCGCAATTATGGTTTATACAATTCCCTTTCCTCGTTTCTGTACTTGACGCATTCTTCAACAAAAGAACAAGCTGCTCCATCTCTGGATTGTTCAATCGGTAATGCACACCATTGCTTGTTTTTCCATTGTTGCTCGCAGCTTTCGATGGGGATGCCAGGAAGACCATGTTCAATGAAGAGTTACAATCGATCACTGAGCAATATGGCTAGCTAGCGTGTCGTGCTGACAACATGGCGGACAACTATAGACTATAGTCACTAGATCTGTGTATCTTGCTGCTGTGCTTGTCACCATCTCATGGTATGTCCCAACAAACCCGAAACAACTAGATTTCATCCAACAATCCTGTAGCCATCTACGATTCAGAATGGGTCTCTGCTGGTTTCGAACTTTGATGACTTCATAGGATTCTGCACTTGCATGTTGGTTGGAAGGAGGGTAGATCAAACCCAAGGCAGGTGGTTGCGACGCGTTTTGGGAAGCCTTTCCGGCCTTTCCCAGAAGGACGGTCGGTCGACCTGAAAAAACACACCAAAAGACTCTTTGGCTTGGTGACCTCAGGTGGTCATCTCTTTACCTCTGATTTGATTGGGTGAACGACCGTAGGTTTATTTAACCATGTTTAACATGGTTCAACCTATAAAACGACTGTTAGGGTAGTTAACCCAAATAGAGCTTTTTTACCATGTTTTACCTGATTCATAGGGAGTTTTCACCCAAGCATTTGTCTTAAAACCGCTCACCGGGTCGACACACAGAAGCGCTCCTGGTGCCATGGGATCAAGTTCGAGGAGCCAGGCCTGGACCCAACGGAGCGAACGGTTCCGGAACGAAAATGAGCCAGGCTTCTAGACGGTCAGGTGCAGAAAGTCTGAGGAAGTTCCAAAAGGGGATCAAAATAGAAAAAGATCTACTCCAATGAGTTCGCGAGTCCGTGTCCAGTGTGTTTGTTGTTCATTTGTTGGGGTCGATTCAATGAAGAGACCAAAAGAAGAGATCCCTCCTCCAAACGAAAGTGGCTTCGAAGAATGATGGCCCCTTATTTAAATTGATTGAAACCGCTATGCGTGTGACGGATCCTTGACCTGCTCCTTCCTCTCCCTTGCCAAGAGCTCAACACGGAAAACCATCGGAAGAAATAGAGTCTCAGGGCAACACATCTGCTTGTGGGAGTGTCTTTCTGGCTGGTCCACCTTGAAGACCAACAACATATTCAAATCAACATTTCGCGGACATGGAGACTGACTGACTTGAATAAGGAGCCTACCATAACATGGTTGCAAAGAACTCAGAACTGCCTACCAGTATTACAGCTTCAAATGAACTACAGTATATATATATATATAATATACATATAATATATATATATATACATACATACATAGATTCATAGATAGATAGATACGTACATATAATGAGCGGCCAAAACCACTAGACACCCCATTTACCCCCAAACATTCCTCCTCGTAGTAGCGTATCCCTCAACTTTTGCTGGCTTGACAACCAGCTAATGACTGTACAATAGCTTGCTCTTGATTCAGCCTTCTCCATGGAGTTCAATGATGTTCTATGATTCCTTGATCTTCCCCTGCGTTCGGTGATTTTGGGGACTCCATTGAGTCCACACATCCCCCAGCTCCACGCGCCTCTTCTCGAAGAGCTCCAGGCGCATAGCCACCAGTGGCAAACCACAAAGCTCCACCAGGAAATCCAAGAGCCTAGCAACCAACTGTGGGGTCACACTGGTCACGCAAAACCAGCAGCATCGTAGCATCTTAGCATCTTGTAATCTGCACTTTGTGTGCAAAGAGATCAGCAGTGAGTGACCTTGAGTAACAGAAACGAACAAACCCTGCCTGAGGCCTGTCTGCAGAACGAGTGGATGCAAACTAGGAATGAAGTGGTCCAACACACATACACAACACGTGTTTTTGCTTGAGGGCGTTGCCTCAAACTGGTGAGCGTTCATCTTCGTTATGAGGTCGCATTTGCAGCATGCTGCAGGTGTTGCGTGAGGGCATCCTATGGACTGGACACCCAATACCTGCCACAGGTGTTTCGGTTCCTTCATTGGGGACCAACCAAGTTGTGCCACGGTGCCAGATCATTGCAAAGAGGAAAGGATGTTGATGGGGTGAGGTCTTCATATGTCTTCATGTGGGCACCTCGGCCAGCGGAACTTCTCAACCAGCTTTGGCCGAAGAACTTCGCATCCTCGACTGTTCCCTGCCTCTCATCTTGAAGTACTCTCAGGAAGGGCTCAGCAGTTTCACAGGCCCAGTTCACACCCAAGTCCACCTCCAGGCTCTTGGGATGCCGACTCCGACTCAAAAAAACGGCAACAAGTGGGCAACTGCAATGCACACTCCATGGCAATGAGCTCAACACCTTTGTGACCCTATGTCAACACGAAACGGCCTGAGTTCATGTTTAGTGACTGGAGGTTCACACACCAAATGATGTCCAGCCTCGACATCATCAGCTAAAAGCTCACGCAGTCCTGAGCAGTGCCATGGGATCACAATTGCAACGACTGGACCCAAAGCCAAAGCATTGACAAAGGTAGCACTCGAAGGGTCCAGGAGATTGGAGAAACAAGGATAAACGTGAGCAGCTCCTACAACTTTAGGGAATACATCGTCTTCAGTGAGTCGCTCCAACATTGTGTTATTGGATGTTATTTGTACCCTGCATGTGGATACATGCCATCAAACACACCTGGTGGCCCTTGCGGCTTCTTTTTGGTAACAGGGACGTTCAAGGGGCCGCGGCCGTTGACCGTGAATGATTGACCGTGAATCGCGTCAGTGTTCGGTTGTGTGGGGGTTAATTCATCACATCTCGCCGCGTCTTCGGCACCAAACCATGAAAATCTTCGAAGACGCGGGTCCAAGTGGTGTCGCTCTCAGCCCAGGGTCGCTCATCAAAGCTGGTTTGCAGCTCTTGGAGATGCAATGGCCTTGCTGGGTTGAACATCGGGTCCCGGGGGTGCCACGTGGTCAGCCCACCATTGATGGGGTGCAAGGCCGGAAAGCAACAAATCCATTTCTTTGGTGATCGAATGGTTGAGGAGAACTGAAACATGTGGTTTGAGAAACACATGGTCTCCACTTCAGTGCTGGCATTCCAACCATTTGCTTACTTGACTATCCCGGAATCATTTAAACACATCGGGAAAATAGCCATGTCTGCCCAATTGCTGACTCAACTCTCCGCGTTTGTCAAGGCGGCGTGGTATTTATAATATCGTCATGTTGATGGGCTGATTTTGTAGTACACGGAGGGAGGATCAAACCTACATTGATTATGGATCTCCTGGGTGGTTTTCTACAAACATTGATCTATAGGTATTTCTGAGCTATGGACAAGCAGTGGGCAGGCACGCCTAACATGAAAACACAACCAATGATTGGAACCAGCCGGCATCAAACCTCTTGGCCATAGTTGAGACCAGTATGGTCAGCATGTCACCCCAAACTGTCCCATGATATGACCCGGCTTAACCAAATAGATGGCGCATGATGGCGCATAAAGGTCAATGTATGGGGGGGGGGGCCTTGACCAGGCATGGGAGTCGAGTCTCTCACCACTTGGCGCCTCAGAAAGGACTGGAAGATGCAAAAGCCATCCTGGGGGGAAGCGAACCCAACGACGACGGGGTGAGGGACGACCGATGCACCTGCGCTAGAATTGGTATAGGTGGGCATGATCAAATGGTGATCTTAGATTGGCCACTTTATCATCTGCTTCAAGGACATTTTGTCATCAGTCTATTTAGAATATACGCGCAAACGGTCAACATCACAGTTTGTTTGCTGATGCTTCTTCACACTTGATGAGGGGCCTGACATGGAGTTTTGATGTCTGTCTGGCGGGTGTCCTGCAATATTGGAGCAGTTGTCAACAATCTCAGACCATCCACGTATGGAACAGCAACCAGTAGATTACGGTCATAAATAATACATTATATAATCATTAATGTGGGCATACCAGGGCTAAATTCATGTGGCTATTCCACAATGGTTGGTCTAGGATTGTTGACAACCTGCTTGTGATTTTCTCTCCGGGAATGCTGCACAGCTCATCTGGGTGTTCTGTCCTCATCGAAGCGTGCCAAAGACTCTTCAACGCCTCAGTGACAACCGTGCACCGTGCCGCAGCTGGCGGTGCACGACGAAGGGTGTGTTGCTGGGTAACCTTGGGAGTGAAGGTGTGTTTCTATTATTCTATGCAACCGGTGCCACCTCTGCAGAATTGTGTGCCTGGCCCTTTTTCCACCAAAAGCAACCCTTGCACGAAATCTGAATGTGATCATTTCCTCCGACATCCTCCGACATCCTCCGATGCCCAGTGCCACCAAGGTTCCTGTACCAAAGTCTTCGTCCAGAATGACGCCCGTGGGAGGCTCCATGAGGATTCAGCAATTTGACTTCTAGAGCTCTTAATTGACTGCTTGCTCTCGTTTGAACATATGTGGATGTGTCTGATGCGTCTGCAAATGCACTGGTGACAAAACCTGGCAGGCCTGTTTGTGCACAACATACATATTGTGCTTTCTACACGCAAAGAAGATCTACCGTTTGAAAAGGAACATGGTCTTGAGAAGGTCCAGGCTCCATGGCTCGATGGTTTTCTCCCGGAAACGGAGGATTGCCTCAATGGACGCGGGTTTTCTCAAGCTCAACCTGCAATGGACGCAAAAGCCTGGGCCGAAATGCAAACCATTCTGTCCTGGATTCCAAGGATTCCATTGGACCATCCAAGACTGAGCATCCAACATCTTTACATTGAATTTTGCTCCGGTTACTCCATTCTTTCAACCTTGCTCTAAGCAGTTCTTGCTAGCACTGGTCAACACCAAATCCGCAACGAGGAGGACCTGTTCCGGCCTTTTCTCACACGGTTAAAGACCGGGAACGAAACGCAGCAACCACTGTGGAGAGCAGTGGTTCAATCTCCTGGATTGGGCATGTCTCAAAAGGGTGCCGTCTTGTTCAATCAGAGGAAGGCCGCACGAATGAAATGAAACTGAAACAGTACTTCTACGAATCTGAGGGTCGTCGGCATCCTGTATCCTTGTCACAATTTCTTCGTCTACGACTGATAGCATTCATGTTTGAGACATTGCCTTGTCACCAGCATTGAAAACTGAAGCACAACCCAAGAGCCGGTCTTTCGTTACAGCATTGGCTTTCTGATGAGCACAACGCCTGTATATCGGTATTTGCCCCCAAAGCCAATGCCCCTAGTTTGCGGAAAGAACATGAAAGAACTGCTGTGCTTGCTTCCTTGGCATTGAACCTTTTTGATGTTTGCTAGCCATCCCATCCCTGCCATGAACAACCGCTTCAGTCACAGGAAGTTTGAAAGCAAAGACTTTCTACTCCTACTCACCAGTGGTGGAGTTTGGAGCTATATGCATAGGCTTCAGAAACCATCGTGGATTCACATGGATTCACAAATGGCAAAAGCCTCGTTGGGTGAAACAGATCCTCACCCAATACTGCCATCCCGTAGACAAATCTCACTCTACATGACCGATGCTTGTCCGTCTCTTGTCCTTGCTAAGGGGTTCACGGTTCACACATATCAGCGTTGTAGCGCTTGTATGTCTCAGGTTGCAGTTCCGAAACGAGAGTGGGATTCCACTAACCAGTGCCGGAATCAGATCTACAGTTTGGGTATATTATCCCATTCCCTGCAACAGTGGATGATGATGGTTAGTATAGGCCTTTCGGCCTTTCTCTAAAGTATCTCAAATAAGGATCATTGTTTACCGACTGTTCCAGATCATGGGACGCCCCCAATCTACAGTACTCTACAGTGGTCTCCCCCTACAACTCGGCAGAGAAATCATATCTACACACCGGGCATGTGCCGGAATTACTTCTGCCGGAGCTCGACCAGCAGGCCTCGGCCGGGGAGAAATTGATGAAAACTGTTTCGAGGCCTAGTGGAACATGTGGACAGGTGACACAAAGGCTTTAGAAGCTGTCAGGATGTGTCTAATGACCGTTTTTGCTTCACAAGTGTGCCGCCAGGCATCAATACAGTTGAGGCAGAACATGTGGCCGCATTGCAGGACGATCGCTGGATTCTCGGGCTCGGCTTCGGCAAAGTCTTGATAACCTCGGGGGCTCCGGACATTTGAGCTCGGCAGTTCCCGCCGCTGTGGTGAATCAAACGCAAAACGAACTCTTCAGACCATCTGACATCGGCCCAAGCGGATGGCCGCTCACTCTCGCCCGTCGACGGCATGCCGCCGTCTCCGCCGTCTCCGACAGCCGCCAAGCAGCAGCAACAGCAGCTCGTCACCGAACGCAATGGTGATAAAACTTGTACACCTGCAAAGTTCCAAGCGGCGAGCTGAAGGCCGAAACATGGTGGATTTGAGACTTCCAAGCAGTGGCCAGGAACATGTCCAATGGTCTGATGGAGGAAGATCCGGCCTTAAACCCTAGGAACAGTTCCTAATTTGGATATGTTCAGTGGTCGAATCATTTTTATAAGCATGCTTTGGTCATACCATGCCACACGACCGGCATCAACCGCCACGATCCAATGGGACACGTGGATGAACCGCCGGATGAACCGTCGGATGCCTAAGGACGTCCCCGGCGCAGGTGGAAGTTGGGACCATCCGCCAGTCATTTCAACATATTTCAACACAACATCAGCGCAACTGATGTGCAACATACACATTCAGCTGGGCACCCCTGGTTGGAATGCAGATCCCTCCGCCCTCTCCCAGCGCACCTACCATGTCACGGACGGAGACCGCAGCCTCAAGACTGAGACCGTCGGCTTCATCCCCCGCCCGCCTCCCGTTCGACCTCACCTGAAACCCAACAAACGCTGAAACCAAAGATGCACCGCACATCTGGGGGATCCGGAATGCATCTTAAAATCATTTGAGATCCACCAGCGGCCCTAGAATCCTAGAAAAGGGATAACAAACAAACGTTGTGGCCGGGAAACCAGCACAACTGTGAACGATTCAGTCTCTCTCTCGCTCTCATTTGGGGTTTCATGTTGTTTATATTCCTGTTCTTCCAAGCTGTCTTAGTATAGCTACTATGGAATTTGCATGGAGTGAATGTGATACTTTGACGATTTTTGACGTGTTCCTTACCACTCTGCCCACATCCATCGGGCCCAAGTCCAAGGTCGCGACTGGTGAGCGCCGTCGGCGGCGCGGGCGTGTGACCTGCCAAACCTGGAAGTAGAACTCACCAAGGTCATTGTGTGAGCCGAGATGATCCACTTGCTCTGCTGTGAGCTGCGCCCAAATCCGACCCACCTGCGGCGAGACGCGTGGACGACGTGCGCGACTAGAGACAAAGCGACGGCACTGCGGGATTGCTGGATCCAAATAATGGAATCTCAAGCGAACGTGTCTGTTCCAGCTGGGATGAGAAGCTTGAAGACGCCTTCTCTGCTTTCCGTGTCGAGCCATGCGCAAAGATTGCAAGTGTTTCCGTGACGAGTTGACGCACGTTTCGGTCAACATGGTTTCCTTCCACGCGATGTTAGCCGGTCGGAGAAAAGAGATGGTTTCGGTTTCGCCCAGAATGGTCTTCGAGTCTTCGGCAAACATTGCCATCCGCAAGTTTGGTGGTTTAATGCGGTTTATATGGCCCCCCATCTACAAGACATCTTGGAGCAAGTTTGTGCCATCTACTCTGAAACCACTGTAGTTCTGGGATGTTCTGGACACGTTTTTTCTAAACCCTAAACCCTAAACCCTCAAATCGGACGCTTTTGTAAAGGGCCGGTCGGAAGTCACTCGCCTGTGTTGGACGAGTAGAGGAACTATAAATCCTCACCAGTTTGTTCCTGAGTTTGAAATCACTCTTTCATGAATTTCTCCTCTGAGTCTGTCATCTATCTCTTGTCTTTGTGCTGTGCCCCCAAGGGGTTGATTCACCCCTTTTGTCTCAGGCTGTTGCAGATCGCTCGCGGGGTCCGTTCAAATCGGTCGGGTTTGGCTGTTTTCTTCACATTGGGCGGGTGTCGCAGCCGATTTGCTGTTAAGCCCTTTGGCACTGTAAAACTCAGGTGGCAAGTTCGTAACATTCACCACCATTCACCAGGATAGGGGTGATAATTGTTCTGGAAGGCAAAGTGGTCACCATAATTGATCCCTTCAGGATAAACATTGGGCTGGCACCCCTTCTTTCAAATCTTGGCAGCGTACATGAAGAGCTTGGACCAGCAGCTGGCCGGCAGCACTCAGAAACTCATAGCGTCCAATCCAAGTGGTACATCCGCCGGCCTGCCGGCGTGTTTTGTGGATTGTTTTGGTTAGTATTGCTTGTGTTGGTTTCAATCTACGGCTTGTATCTCCGCGCGGATTTTTCGACAGCCTGAGGCGCCCCCCTCCCCCCCTTCCCTCTCTCTACGCCGAAGGTGATTGGACTGAGACATGTCGATCGCTGGATCAGAATAGACAACCTCTGATTCGGATTCGTTCCATTTCATGGTCAAACAACCTTGAAATAAACATCAACAAACTCACACAGCCAAATGTGCAACTCCAATGCACCAACAAGTATGATTGAGCAGGGTATTGTTGTTCGATGTCATTCTGGGTCTTTCATTTCGAACGGTTTGGAGAGAAAAAACGACAAATCATGCCAGATCAAGAAATTCTTCGGTCGCTTTGAAGCCTTCTGTATGTGAAAAAGAATATATATGAATATCTTGTGCGACTCGCAATTCCTCAAGACGGTCCAAAAAACGATCTGACAAGGAAAACATGCAAAAGGCCAAGTCGTTTGGAAGAAGACTCATTTTCAAGTACCGGTTTTGTGGATTGTCTTGCTTCGTCTGGCTTGTGTTGGTTTCCATTGGTTTCATGGATTGTCTTGCTTCGTCTGGCTTGCGTTGGCTTCCATTGGTTTCAATCTACGGTTGGTTTCAATCTACGGTTTGTTTCTCCGCGCGGATGTTTCGACAGCCTGCCCTGCCCCGGTTGGTTTCAATCTACGGCTTGTTTCTGCGCGCGGATGTTTCGACAGCGACTTTCTGCGAGAACAGGAAAAAGCGAATCAAAGAGACGTGCCGGATTATATAGCTGCTTCAGCCTAGAAGAGGTGATCTTGTCCCTGCCTTGGAACGAAAATAGAACTGTGGAACACTGTTAATAAGCATCATTAGGCTGCCTGCCAATGCGGGCTCGAGCTGGTGGCCGGCGGCATGCCGAAGGCTGTAAATACATGCAATATATGTATATAATATATATATATATGCATATTAGTGTGATTTTAATTGATATTTTGTGGTTGACTTGTAGCAGCCGAGAAAACTGCTGGAAAACAATCAACAAGCATTGAAGGATATCATGTTAGTCTTCTGTCTATCCTTATATATATATATTCTGCTTCATGTTTGGTTCCTCCCCCGCGATTGACAATTTTTCGCACAGTTGCTGTACAAGCGCCCATGCCACATATAGCCCGATAATCGCGAAGAAAGACAGTGCTTGCGGCTCCTGCGCGCAAAACACAGTTCGCTGCAAGACACACATTCCGGCATCATTAGTCCGCATGAAAAATCCCGCCAACGCGGTACGCAAAGGAAATTGAAGAAGCTTGAAGTGGTTCAACAATTTCATGACCTCATCAAGGCATGTTGATGTTCAGGGTCCATGTTGTCCGGTCGTTCGGTCGCTGCAATTTCCTGCCGAGATGCTGGGAAATCCTGCAGGACGATGGGCACACCAACGAGCACAATGCCTGGTCGAAGGGCTCAAATCGTGTTGCTGTTAAGGGAACATGGAACACCATGGAATTGCTACGAAATACCGGGATGCTTGTTGGAGTCGAGAGGTACAGCAGCAGGTAGTTTCGTCCCATCCTCTCACCTTTCCTACCCTCGCAATCGACAAAGGGCCACCTGGGTCCTGGGTCCTGATACCCCAAGTAGCTGAATGTAGTTGATCCTGATTGTAGCGTGACCCGGGCCCTGGGTGACAAACTAGATCAAATTGCTAATTATACCCAACACCAGCCATGAAACCCCAGAAGCTGGCCTGTTTGCACCGAACAAATCTGATTCTTATGTCTTCGTGATGTCAAAACCGCTTCTGAGTTTGAGTCAGCCTATCTTGCTTGCAACCACCTCGACGATGTGCGACTCCCGCGACAAGCGGCCAAGGAGGATAGCCAGAACCACGCGGAGAACCTCAAGCTTGTAAACCTGGAGGCTCCAAAGCTAGGCATCTGAGGCCATGTTCTCTGTCACCAATCAGCATGAGCCAAACTGAATGGAGAAATCGCACGCTGGGGAGCGACCTATATCTCAGCAAGCACCGGCATGCAGGCATCCAGTCTTTGTCCATGTTCTTTCACCAGCATTCGCGGAGAAACCAAAGCCATGGCACCCATAACAGCATGATGGCAGTTGTTGTGAAGATTCTCGAAAATCATTGAAATACACCCTTTGAATGATGGCGGGTCCCTATGAGGGGTTCTTTGGTCCCCTGAGTTTGTCATCTTCAAGCTGCCGCAGCACGTGGTTCGCTGGATGTACTTCAGGAGTGCTATTTTATGTCCATATAATATATGTTTTTAGAGGAGACCGCCTGTCCCAAGCACCCCACTGATAATGACAACGCACCATACAGTGAGGGTCAGATCACACACATCACACACCTAGCTGTTGCAGCTGCACAAACGACACCGCCGCCCCCCTTTCTTCATCCCCCCGCCCCCGTTGGCGGGTGGCAGACTCCGGAAGGGAAGCATCAAGCCATTCCCAGGCCAAACAGCAAAAGGCTCCAGGCCTTGCAGGTGACCATGAGAAACGTCGAGAAACGTCCAGCTCCGACATGTCCGACATGTCCGTTTAAATGGGTGATGTCGACCAGTTTCTTCATGTTCCTTCCCACAATGATAGTTTCCTCATGTTTCCCTCATGTCTGCACAACCGAAGGGCATCCGATTAAACACAAACAAGCTCAAGTCATCAAAAAGCTCAAGTCAAACATCCAGGTGATCCAGTGCTGCCAAGTTGGGAATCAAACCTTCTAAAGATGCTGATTTGGCAGCTTTGCAGCCTAATCAATCTGAAGCAGCTAACACCACACCCAGGGGCAAAGCGCTTTTCCTGGTTTCACGCAAGACCCCCAGTGCAAACCATCCGTTGATCCACTGAGAATGGTTTCTTCCCGTGTCCGTCCCGTCCTTCCCTCCGTGGACTCCCGATCTGAGAAGGACTCCAGTCGCTCTGCCTCACTGTCCTGCGGGTTTGTCTCCACAAAGTGCAGAACGAAAAGTGCTCTCTCTCTCTCTCTCTTTCTCGCTCTCTCTGCAGAAAGTCTCAGTGGGGTGAAAGTCTCAATGCTGAATTCCATACACGATCCTCTCAGAGGTTGTTGGGGCATGGTGTAACCCCTGCTTGCGGAGAAGGGAACTATGATGTTCATGGATTCTCCGTACTCTTTTAACACCTGCATATCGAACATTGCCCCCATCCATGGACGTACAACCTCTGGGTGCGTCTTCACTATGCATTAACCACGAGCATAATCAAGCATACACAAATCCACCCATGCAGAACTCCCACACCACACCGCCGAACATATGGTAGCCACATCATTGGTGGCTCCAAACCACAATAAACCGGTCATTAAAAGAGCTATACAGTCAGTAACAGCTGATGCGACATGAGGTCGACCTATTTCCTTGGATCCGGCCTTACAAGACCAAGCCCTGCAGTTTCCGTATGCCCAGCCACATGCCACCGACAGGTTTGCTGCAAAACTTTGCCCTCACGATCTGTTCTATCAAAACGCCATGGCCCGGACGAGGCCCGGACGAGCAGGAATGCTGGAGTCTCATCGTCCAGGTTAAAGGCTAAAGGCACCAATCCCGCTAGGCCGGCCATGGCGCCACAGCACACGTCTTCTTCGCCGAAGGCGCGCAAAACACGTAGAAGTTCTCGTGTCCAGTTCGAAGCACGGTAAAGGGACACTTTGTGAATCGAGTTGTTGGACAGGTGAACAGGATGTGACACTTGTGAGGCTTCAAGGCCTTTGACACCTGGACTGGAGTCTTTAAAGATGTTTTCGAGTAAGGTAAGTCCAATAGGCTTCTTTGTTGTCAGGAAATCCTTAGGTGGCTTTCATTAAGGGGTACATGTTTGTGGCTGGTTTGGCTTCTCGTGATATAAATCGGATGTTGGCCAATCTCTGCAATCCCCTTGACGATTCCACGGTTAACATGCCGGCCAGCGACACACTGAAAAGCAAATCCAGTCAACACGCTGGGATCATGTGGGATCGGGTAGCTGGATGTTGCAACATCTCGGGAGGAGCATTGGAGTGGTCTGAGGTTCGCTGCATGCCGCGCCATGCATGCCCAGACATGCTGAGGCCAGTGCATCAAGCAAAAAAAGCCCACAATCACAGCGAGCAAAGCAATCAGGAGAGCCCTGGCCGAAGAACTCAGCATCAGCGGCGTCGGCAGCGTCAGCTCCGAAATGGACCTTATGCATCCTATTGCACCGAAACATGGTTCAGGAACAAACAGGTGGCAAACGGACAAACCGCTGCCGCAATTGAATCGCTTGATATGTGGAATCTGTTCTTGAGGTACAAGTATATAGTATTGGCAGCTGGATCTCAATGTCAGCTCCACTCCTTCATGTTCACCAGATTGTCTCCAAAAACTGGAAACCCAGGTGCGGCAAAATGATTGACATGATGCTACCTGTTCGGATTGGCGGATGGAGGGGAGGTGAGGTCAGTTGGAATGATGCATGACCCTAGCAATGTATCTTTGAGAAACCTTTATGAACACAAACTTCTATATAATCTAATAACCCCACTCCCAGCCCCAGCTGTACCTAGGACAACTCACTCTGAACAAGACAGTGCTTCGCCTGGACTGCCCGCTCGGCTGTGCGATTTCCCCGACAACTTCGCCAGCAGGGCAGCCAAATCTCTGTGTGCGGCTCGATTCGAAACAAGATCACAATCCTCAGCTATAAAGTTCTACTGACCAAGAAATACCTCATTCACTGGTAAATTGGTTCTACATCTGCAACATGCGGGGGCTCGTTCAGCACTGCAAGTGTATATGAAAACATATCCAGCGGCAGCATATTTGTGACACACCCCGAGGCCGATACTTCCCTAAGACCGATATGTAACCAGTGTATTGGGGCAAGCGTGCTTCTGGGATCCCCCAAAGAACAGCAAGTGGCGGTGGCGGTTGGTGTGGAGTGTGGTTTAGGATCCAATACGTAGTGGAGCCGAACAGAAAGTTTGCGATTTTCGAGAAGGATTGCCCACCGAACCTGCATCAATCATCCTAGCATCTTGAGGTAATGTACTGTATGTTCTATTTGGTCCATGTTGGGTGTTGAACGCGCTTGAAAGCTACTCTTGTTCACAGCCACGCGTTCATCACCCATGCGCATAACAAACTAAAATATGTGGGATATCATAAACCAACAGGTTTAGTTTTTTGAGACACTACAGTAGTCTTTGGAGGTATGTGGAGGTTAGAATCACCAGACTGCTCTTTCTCCTTTCCCCCGGCCCCCGCATGGCTCACGGCATCTCGCGGCTCCCGTTCATCTCGAGGTGCAGCACCAAAATGGAGATCAGCAACAGGAAGAGGAAGAATCTGAGTGCTGGGATCTGAGTGCCCTTTTCGGATCCTTTGACCGACTTTGGGACTCCTAAAGTGGGCTGAGTCTGAGTACTGCAGCGGGAAGAAAAACCACATATATATATATATAGATCCAAATAGAAAACAAAGAAAACTCATGTTCAGCATCAACCGATCAAAACAATCAACATGGATAGAAAGCCCAGCAGTCATTTGGGCTCGCCGCAATTCAGTTGGGTTCACTTGGTCGTGAATCACAAGTTGACACTGCTGTGCTCGGAACGTGTGCTAACAGGTACTGCATGATTCTACATCTACATGAGCGTCAGCTCTTCAACATGCTTTGCCAATGTTCGTAGAGGAACATCACCAGAAACAGCCTTTGAGGGGGGCCTGCTTCGCACGGAAGCACGGCGGTTGCTCCCATGGGGCCTCTGCGCCCATATGTCTCTAGCCGAACGTTCTCCCCCACCGGCCTCCCACAATGGGTCAAGCATGAGTCGACCTTGGTCTCCGCTTCACATCCTGCAATCCTCGAATTAGTTCGTTTCAATCCTTGGTCTCCGTTTGAAAATAGTTGATCTCCATTCAGCCAAAGCACGTTTAGCCAATTGAACGGCTTGATGTGCCATGACCTACCTGCCATGACCTGCCTCACAACAGCCCAACCGGACCTACCATCCCGAACCCAACAGCTGAGAGAGCCTGGCGCGGCCCACGGCTGACACTCTCAGGGACCACGCGGGATTATACTCATCGTCCACGGACCATACAAGCCTCTCTGTTGCCCTGGGCACAGGCTCACAAATTGAACATCGGCCCCAGTACCTCTTTGTGGTCATAACTTCTGGCAAAGTGCACGTGTCTGCATGACAGCTGTGAGAAGTGGCACAAAGGAATTGTGCAAAAGATCTGTTTGTTTTCTCTTCTTCCTTTGTCCTGAGTGTGAGTGCAACAAATTGACACCAAGTTTGATCTGTGCACACAGGAACCCTGCAATGATCTTCCCCCTCCTTAACTGTACTGTACAAGATAAATTATCAACATAGACCCGACACTAGACCCGACATCCTCTTACCAACCCGACTGTAAGGCCATCGAACTGCCGGCACGATGTTCCCGACTGATGTCCTTGCTGATCAGTTTAGGAGTCCATGATCGGTTTCGTTGCTTTTTGAGAGTGCCCCCGTACTGAGTATGTAATATGGAAAAGAACACGTGTAGGCCAGAAACATGTTGTGAAAGTGTCTCCAGTGCCCCAATGAAGGAGATGGTTGCTATCCTGCAATTCTTTTCCTTCCCTCCAACAACGAGTGTCTACAGTGCCCCAATGCGCCCCATGTTCTTAAAGAATAGGCCGCCGCGAGCCATCTTCCGCCGTTTCAGCTGAGCGAAAGCGTCCGACGTTTCAGCCGTGGCAGCGCCGTTTCTTCCAGCTGAGTGCGGCCCGCCGAAAGAAGCGAATGAACTGCTCCACTTGGAGCTCCCCTGGAGAGACCGGTGCAGCGAGGAGAAAAACCCACCGGACCAAAACCTGGGAATGTCACTTTTCTTTAACCTCTTTCCAATGCTGAATCTGAAGCTTGTGGGTCCGCTTCAGCAATCCCACCAAATGTCCGACAGCCTTTAGCTTGCAACATCCCAACACGGATCTCCCATCCACGAGGCAGCCAGTATCTCAGTCTTCCCCAGCTCCATGTCACATCATGTAACTTCTGAGGTGCTCAGCCTCCCTGAAGACTTTCGTTCAAGGCAAACCACTCCGCCCTGTTCGGGCAAATGACCAGCTGTGTTCGGGCTGTCCTTTCTGGTCGTAGCCACAATCCTGCAAAATTCCTGGAGTCAAATCGAGCGACAATCGAGCGGCTCTGTGGACGAAAAGAGGAGAAAGCAATGAGCCTCGTTCCAGCCCCGGCCTAGGAACAAGAAGCTATTAGGGGCTCCTGGCCTTACTACTAGGAGCAAGGACACTACTAGGAGCAAAGGGTATCGCTACTAGGAGCAAGTACGCTACTAGGGGCTCATGGCATCGCTACAATGAGCCTCGTTCCAGCCCCGGGGGTCCCAGGCTTTTCAACCAAATCTGGATCGTCCCGATGCTGAGTTCCAAGGGCCAGGTCGTCCATGCGGCGCGGACGTGCTGCGGCGTTTCAAATGCGTTGGAGGTTCCCCTAGGAGATAGCAGGGGTATGTGGAGGTTTGTGCTACTTGGCTACTCGGCTACTCGTGAACAAACCCGAGGAGTGCCTGACTAGGACTGAAAACATATCCGTATCCTTCAACACTTCCCGGAGATTATGAAACGGATGCAAATGTCGATGACTGTTCGCTCTCTCTCTCTATCTCTCTCTCTCTGTATGTATATAATATAACATTATATAACTCGTTGAGTATCTCCTGTGATAACACCCACGGTCGCAAAGAGTTGGTTTCATTGCTGCCCAGCGTCGTTCCACCGTCTTCTTGGATGCATCCACCCCTCGGCAAAGCGAACTGAGGATGGTCCCTCAGGCGTGAGGATGTCACTCATGTCATTGAAAGGGCTGCAGTGGAACATGCCAAAAAGGACCAACATCTACAAGTTATGTAAATTAAATGTCTTTGAAATACCAGCACCACCCCAAAGGGTGCTTATTGGAAGGACAATGCGTCAGGGGTGTCTATAAACCATCCTTTCCGTGCTGGCATATAGGTCCATGGAGGGGCGGGAGGCAGGCCCAGTCTTCGATTCCTGCAACTGTTCAAGGACAAGCTCTCTTCAACCGAAAGACAACGCTCAACAATGTCTCCACTGAAGTCATGAGAGTTATGGTTCGGCAAAGTGGGAGGACAAAACAAAAACCTGGGCGCCGCAGCCCGTTCCATTGAGTGAATGTTCGATGATCTTGTGACTTGTCATGGTGGCTTTTGGCTTTGGTCTCTAAAACAAGGGGGTAAGCCTCGCATTTGTTCTTATTGTCCAAATCGAAGCATCCACTTTTCAGAGTAAGACTGCACTGGAACGGCTGGGAGTGAAACCTAATGTTGGCACCAAATGGCACCATGTTTCCTGCCTATTCCACGTGGACAAATGTCAAACATGCCACATCAGGGGCTCAAAGCGCCAGCTCCAAATATTGTATAAAGTAGTTATTTCTTAGCTATTTTGGTTGGAATGCACCTTCCCAGATACCAGCCTTTTTGGGGCACAGTCTCACCTGCGTGCGGGCACGCAGCTGAGCTTTGGCTGCCAAGCGGCCACACCGCCGGAGCGCGCGGGTCAGTGCTCGGACGCTGATCTCGGTGCGCGAAGGCGGTGCATTTTTCACAGGGAAACCACTACAGTAGTAGCTTCTTGTTCCTAGTAGTAAGGCCATGAGCTACTAGTAGCGCCCTTGCTCCGTTCGGGTTCGGTGCCCTTTGTTACTAGTAACTTCTTGTTGCTAGTAGCTGTGGCCCCCAACCTAATAGCGATGGCCGCCACCTAGCAGCTTCTTTTCCAAGCAATGGGTTGTGGTCTATGGCTCTTTTTCTTGACCTTGGGTCTAATCCGGAGGGAGGCCTTCCAGTAATTAGCCCACACCCACAGGATTCTAAAAGCATTCTAAAGCAACTCACCGTCACCTGCCATCAAGTTTAGCTTGGATGGGAGGATGGATGAAGCACGACCTGCATGTACATAAGGTGCTTCCTCAAAAAAACAGCAAAACAGCAGGACACATGATCGTACGTCGGACGGATCAGTTTTCAAGTCCTCCCCAGTAAGTTGAATTCGGAAAGTTCAAAATCTTAGACTCTTGGTATCCTTGGCATCCTAATTAGGAACAAAAAAAGACTTGTCCCCCCTTGGCAAATGCTCTTCCCAAATCCAGGTCTTGATGGTCTTGCATGCCTTTAACTGTTTGGTACCTGCCAACTACAGCAGAAGCAGTTTGACTGGAGGGCCCCTCTCGAAAACAGTTCAAGATACTTTTGAAGATTTAAAGTGCAAAATGGTTTGTTTTATCGAACAAACTGAATCCTATTTCTCCTCATCAAACAGCCAACAGTTCTACAGTTCTACCTGTTCTTCAGCAACCCCCTGGGAGCCGGCCGAGTTGTCGATGCTGTTCTCGGCCGAGTCACGAGGCCATCTTGGTCAGAATCGATTTCACCTCAGGAAGAGCTCGTCGGACCGAGTCCCTTTCTGCATATATAGTGCTTTCAGAGTAGATTGCGCAAGGGCCTCAAGTTCGGTGGTTTATGATGGTGTTATATGGGTCCCCATCTAAAAAACCGTTCGAAACTATTATATATAACTCCGGAGGTTCTCCCAGCACAAAGAACTCGAGTGAATAACATTCAAAGGACCCAAATTCTAAACTGTGAGTCGGTCATCTTGCCGCGATCAAACTGGACACCAACGCACCAAAAGACTCGAAGTGAACGACTTTTGCAGCTCACAAGTGACAAAGAAAAACATAAGCTGCCACTGCCGCTGAATTTCTGCTCAGCGAGGTGCACTGGCTGCCCCTCTTTCCTCTGGTATCCTCTGGTGGACTCTCCAACGATTTGTGTCCAGTAGCTGACCAGCCTGACCATTCCAAGGTACGGAATGCTTTCCGCAAGGTCTGCTCCGGCACTGGTTGACCATGACTCTGACCTTAGAGCTCAGTGAAGCCAAACATCAAGTGGCCTGATGTGGCCTGACCTGCCAATCCCAAAGGCGGTGTTCCTCGACTTCCTCTTCGATATCTGTGTTTGTTAAGCTGAGGCTAGCCTTCATAGTCCTCTCGACGCATTGGAATTGCCGCCACAGCCAAGGCCAATACTCAAGCCTTTAATGCTAAAGCCATCAGTGCTCCCCAAGACTGCACGGCCTGGGCGGATGAGAATCGCCGAATTCGACGTGCAAACCTGCACAGCAATGGACCTGTTGTGAGTCTATTTTGCGGGGACTTGATAGGAGCCCACGTCTGGGCTAGGACAAGGCCATGTCTAGGCGATTCTGGGCGTAGGACGCATCCGACCAAAAAAGCACACAACAAGAGTGCTGTTGCGGGGGACTGTATGCCAGGCAGCAACACTTGCAGCCTGCTCCCAGGTGCTGGGTGTTCGTACTACAAGTCCCATGGACCACCCTTTTAAGCCCTCCAACCCACCTTCTTAGGTGAAGTTCTGGTATGCTCGTTCTTGGTCTGCTCGAAATTCGATCGGAGGGATGGGAAATATAAATATACCCCACCGTCAACCTCTTCAAAAACACATTCAAACACCTGGTGATCACCACAGGAAGTCTCCATGATCCATGCTCGTCTCCGCCGGTCTCCGCACGGCCAGGAAGGCCCAGGGCGGAGAACTGGCCTTGCGCACCGCCCCTCCAAGTGATGCTGGGCAATCCGGACGCATGTGAGCCTCCTTGTGGGCCTGGGTTTTCCAAGGCAACCAGGTGGTTTTTCCATGTTTTTCCATATTGAGAAGGCCGGATTCAATGGGATTGAACCTGGGAGCAGTCCAACTCGGTCCAAAGATTCTCTGAATCTCAGTGTCGCAGGGAGGCTGGCATTTATATATAGCATTCGACCACTCATTCCACCCAATGAAGCTACTGCACCCAGCGCCAATGCATAAGCCAAGACCAAACAGTCAAGCTTGGCAAGTTGTTTTATCCTCGCCGGCAACTTGTGTGCGAAGTGCGAACTCCGCACATAAAACAAATGCACCGGCAACGGTGCTCGGAGCACCCAGGGAAGCAAAGTAGGGAACTGAAACTAAGATAGTGAATGGGGAAAGGCCCAGCTGAATAGTGCACGTGTATACATCCTTTTACCTGAAGAAGAATTGGAACTGAATAACGTCCCGCGTGGCTCTGCATACAATGCGCACGAACCGGCATCTCGTGTCCGGTTCGAATTAAAATGCAGGTCTGGCCCATCGCGGCTCAAAGCATGGCTCAAAGCCCTGGATTCTTAGCTGACCTTACCTTCGAATCTTTTCAACAAAGTTGCAGGTTTGAAGATTGAACGCAGAGTTGTCCTGCACATGGACCTCACCTCCCAACAAAGGCACAATTGCGAGGCACTTGATGGATCTTGCTATGTCTTGCTGACCCTCCACGCTGGGAGCTGATCGGCCGCCCTGCAGGAGCCGCGCCGGAGCTGATCCGCCGCACCGGAAGACGCCACGGAGCTGATCGGCCGCACGCGCACGCGGCAGAGTTAGGGGCGAGTAGGGCCAACATGCTCATCACAAGGGGATTGAGGCGGTCTGGTCATTTGTGGTTCTTTCATGGATGTTCTATGAGGTTCTGATGCTCTTGTCACCAAATCTGTTTGCCGGGTTTCAGTGGTGAGATCTGTCAGCTTGTCTACGAGGATTTGTTCGCTGAGCAGGGTCATACAACATGAATCCGACCTATTGCAGTCCGGTTCATGCTAATATGCTGAATCGATGTCAAGTGGGACTGCACTCCGGTTCTGCTGCAGCAAAAACACTGGAAACAAACACCTGATGACTTTGGCATTGGCCTCATTAAGGGTTTCTGACATAGCTGGAAAATAATGGAAAATACATTCCGTTTCTACCTTTCTTTGGCTGGCAGTTGATGACAATTGTAAAACCATCACCATCTCGTCGCTTGCTCACAAGTTGAAAAGCTCGTTCTCGCGGTCCAGGTCGGCCATACTGACACCAGCCCTTTTTTAAAGCATGACCTGTCACACTGCTAATGGCTGCGGGCCTTGTTCCAGAAAAGCGCAGCCCTGATGGCACAAGACTACTCCAAAACGCTTACCATGTTGACGTTCAAGCTCGGTCAGTTCTGGCACCCTTCAACCCTGCTTCAGCTGCAAGCCGTTTTGGGCATTGGACATCCTTGCGTCTCTTCTAATCTTTTTTCCCTCTTGCGCCGGTGTGTTTTGTGGAACTATGTGTGAAAATGTGGAAGCTTACCCGTAGAAATTGTCCCCTGCACGGAATTTTGCCTCCACAACTTTCTCCCGTCCCGTTGAAGCTTAGCGGCTTAGCTGTAGCAATCTCGGAAAAGTGGAATCTGAGGTTTAATTGTTTCAAAGTGGCTTCGCCATTTTAATCGTCAGCGTTCGAACCATGCGCCATTGGGTTTTGGAGATCTTGCATTAAAGGTTTCCTCCGCGGCTAGCCGCGAATCATGCGCGTCTTGATGCACAGCCTCTCACCGGGGCCTGGCCTCTCACACTGAGAAGCTTGGATCGCTTCTCGTCAATGCTCGGCCTGGGTCAAGGTGAAAACAGGGCGTCGATGGCTGTCGAGAATTATTCCGAACATTTATGAACTATAGGGCAAGTAACTGGACAAGTAAGTATTAACATAATCCGATGAAATCTGCATTATACCCCCCAAATATCCCCAAATCATCCCAAATCGGCTTTCGATTCTCGTTTGGTCGATTCTCTTCACTCCACACAGCACATCTCTGCCTTCCGAGCGACTAATATCCACCAGTGAGACGACACCTTCTGGCTTCCGACTACCTTGAGGCATCACCAGCATTCGGTGCACCCGGGTCGTGGCAAACTTCTCCTGAGCTTCTCCACTCAACTGTCATGTCGGCCCGGGGAATCGCCCACCGAACCAGAAATCGGCCCTGGCGGTGTTGGACGATCCCTCACGTTCTGCGCCCAAGCAGCTATGCGACATAACGGCCGCACTCGGCCGGATGTTCACCACACTGGGTGGTTCCGATCACTCGATGGTTCCGATCACTCGATACGATAGATAATGATCCCAGTTGTTCAGCTCTGTGAATCTGTGAGCACCATTGAGCACCCATACCCATGGGAAGTGGATAGCCTTATAATTCTGATGCATTGGATGGGGCATGGCTCCGTGGCCTCGCCCCCAGGTGCCAACCACCCTGTGAATCAAACCTTGATGCCACTGATTGCCAATGCCCAACCATCCCTCAAAGGCAGAGTTGATTTTGGATTTGGCCTCCTGTATAAGGCTTAGAGTTTAGAGTGCTCAATAAGATGCTTAAGTTAAAGGAGAAACTCTCTCCGCAATTGGTGATGATGTGGAGGAATACAATGGAAACAAAGCAAGGGCGATCTTGCGCTCAAACCCTCAAATGCGCTGAACCGCCCCCTCAAAACCCACCTTTGCGATGTTTTGCCGTTCAAGGAGCGATGACCTGTATCAATGGCACGTCCGAGCTTGTGGAAATGATGGGCGCACGTGTGTGGCTGAATTTCTTGTTGGGCTTCCGACTGTCTCCAACCTGAGCGGGGCTCAGGTGCACGGACGGTGCCGACGAAGCCCAGCTTCGACTCCACAGGTGGGTCTGAGTGGAGGGATGAGACGTGAGGCTTCACCGTGCTGCTCACCATGTCGCTGCTAACTGGCAGTGATGGTTCATCCACACTAATTCGTGGTTCATCCACAGGATCACAAGGGCCTCATTGCACAATTCATCCCACGGGTCTCTTAGAAGTCTTAGCACCGGAAGGCCCTGTTTCTCACAGACCTGCTCTCCGCCAAGGCTGGTAGGCCTGGTACGCCAAGAGGCAAAAAACACCACATTTCGTTCCCGCAAATCCTTGGTGCGTGTCAAGGGATGAAGCGTTCACCCCTGTCAGCAAATCTCTGTTGTTTGGACTGATGATAAGAACTCCTACTAGGCACGATGACTATGCCGTCCATTTCCCCATGCACTTGCCACCTGCTGTCGTGCAAAGCAAATTCGGAAAGAGTTAGTGGAAGGCCACCAAGCTGATCAAAACAGCAGCTACCAGTGATGATCAGCTATGGCAGGATACAAAGCAGGGCAACTAGTGACTAGGGGGCAAGATTTGCTGTGGTTGAGAAACATGTTCAAACAAGTTTAACACAACTTCTGAATCTGACCCCTGAAAGAGCTAATTACTGGGTTACTAGTTGAGGAACATGATCGAAACCTGCTGACCTCTGCCAGGCCAGTCCGCCTGATCGGCTGTTGGTTCATGGCTGGTGGGCCATGTCTCCAGTACGCCGTACAACGTGATTGATCAACATCCAAAACATCAGAACATCCAAATGTGACCCACGCCAGCAACGAAGCGACACATTGGAGGCAACCCTCTACGACATCCATCGAAAAGCGGATGATTTCGGCGCCCCAGTTCGGACCCACAGCTACCGGTTCCAACTTCTTGCCGACGGCTGGCCGCCAGGACCGCCGACTTGTTTTCTTCATGTCCTGCAAGAGACGTGGGCCCACGCATGAGACGTGGGAGCTCCCACCGGTTGCTAGTGAGGTTCCTGGAAGATGGTATTCGCCCACCAAGCCCTGGTTTTCAGGGTCCATATGGATCCATCTTAGTCTTCAGGGGGGCCAGTCTCAGGGCGCACATGTTAGGGTGTTCGAAGGAAGTGCATCCCACGGGGGGACGAGCTGGCCCGCATCCACTAGACAAGTTGGTGGAACATCTTCGAGATAACCTCTTAGACACCAGCGACAACTTCCAGTGAGGGTGGAGCTGTTTGTATAGCATTTGTGAGAAGCATATGGCAGGTGAAGAAGCTGGGTGATGAGTCACTGCACACACTGCATCAGCGGTGTTGTGGCAAATGCTGATATCGTTCATCTTCAAGTCAATAGCGAGAAACTGTGAAGTGATCAGCTCCATCAGCCCTCTTGTATTCAACCATTGATTGCCCCAGCCTGCAATTATCCAGTCCAAGAGGATTGGTAATATAACGCTGTTTGATGTGTTCTGGCTCTGATTCTTCTAATCACCACTGCTCTTGGATGACATCGCGGCCAGTACCTTTTAAGCTTCGCCCCGCCGAAAGCGTTCAAACGCGCCACCCGCGCGTGCCGGCGCGGTCCGAGTGCCACAACCAGATCTGTGGCGGAGACCACCGTGATGGCGTTGCCAGCTTCATCGGTGATGGCCAAGCTTGAGACACCTGGCGGCTGGCCAGGTGGAACAGCGAGGATTAGGTAGAGTTTGATCAACGAAAAACGGGAGGCGAGGCTACTGTAGAGGATTTCTAGGTGATCGCCAGTGATCACCTGGACATATCCAAAAGGATTTTTTGCTTGAGATAGTGGACTCAGTGATGTTGCTGGAGTGATGTGATTCCCCATGATCACGGGTCGTGGATGAAATTTCCTGGATCGCATCCCATCCAGGTGCCCAGCTGAGCAGTTGTAATTGTAAACTGGGTTCAGCTAAGAGACATCTCATGACATCTCCTCACAACCCTGGCAACCAACATCCAAGAATGCCTCGAACAGTTCAAGAACGAAGAACATGGTGCTCTTCCCATGTCCGCCCAGTTGCACGTGTCCCCTCACTCGCCTTGAGCCACCAGCGTCTGAAAGGCAGTCAAGGCCTATAGGTTGGACGAGTCATCGAAAAACCACCCCGGCAACCCTGGGCCAGCCCCTAATGTAGACTCTTGAT